CTGCGATTGCCCGTTTTGCCGGTCGCCTATTTAGTATATGAACAGCTAGCGAAACGAGTGCGAGCACGCTATAGCGTGGTACGTTGTCATGTTCTTGCATGGCACACGTTTCAGGTTTTTCAGTTCCTGTTGCAGTCAGTCATCCTCCGACACAGGACATCTCGCGTGATAATAAGTGACCATAGTCGCCAATTTACCTCTGATGTTGTGGAATCATTACTTTTTGTGCCTCCCAATTCCGACAATCAACTGCGGATTTTCCAAAACAAAGCGCTTGACCGAGCACACAAACTGAACGTTCATCAGTATACTTACAATGTACATCGCTTCCAACCACAAGAACTGTGATGAAGTATTACAGTTTGTGATGTACGCCTTCAACAGAACGAAACATGAAACGGCAGGCTACAGCCCTTTCTATCTGCTCTACAATCGCTCACCTCAACATAACGGTGGACACTATCTTTCCTCTTGTCTTTCATGACGCTATCAAAATTGCGGAAACTGTGTGTCGTGCAAAAAATCACGTTTATTTGCAAGCTTACGAACACTGGCAGTTCAAGGGTCCTGCAAAACTCGCTACGATGGTCAGCACAGGCTTGTAACCTATGCTCCCGGTGATAAACTGTAGGTGTGGACCACAATACGCAGACGAGGCTTGAGCGAAAAGCTATTCGCAAACTACGCTGGTCCGTTCGTCATATTCCATCATCTCAGCGAGGTCAAATATGAAATAGCATTTGTGGCCACCAGTCACCGGGGTTCATGCAAGACGGAGATGACGCATCTTGCAGCCTGAAGGCGTTTACATGAAGCACACAGAACGAGTCGTTCAGATTGCTTCGTCTGAGAGATGAGGATTGATACGAAGTGTCACTGGCAGGAAAGAACAAGGGGAGCGCGGTAGAGAAGGAAGACGACGTCGCTTCGACGGTGATCGCGGTCTCAGGGCCCATTACAAACCCTCTTGAGTTTTTTTCGCCGTACGTAACAATATTTATATATTTCTAGTTATTTGGTATTGTCCAGCACGCCATGCCCTGCAGAACAAAATTTTTGCGCACGCTGCTTTGAGAAGACAAAAGTGACAAGGCGATAATTGTGACGTCGCATCTGGAATGCCTAAACTAATTTTACTTTCAACAACGCTTTGTTTCAGACCCTTACAATTACTGGCCAAAAGTGTACAATGAATGCAACTGCAGGGACACCACTAGCCACCGTTTTGACGTGACAGGCCGGTGAGTGCGTCAACGAGTGCTTGTAGCCATAAGGCGAAAGGAGGAGAAGTTGGTTGGCAACTTTCTTATCGTCAGTGAGCGCACACTGGGTATGTAACTGTGGATGACTTCGCTATCAAGCTGTTCGTTAAGGTGATGTTCTCTCATGATGTAGTTAAATGGCATTTCTCAAAATTTTAAATGCCAATCATTTCTTAAGGTGATGTTCCTGCAAGATGAACTTCAGCGGCTTTTCTCTGAATTTTACATGCGAAGCACTTCGTAGTAAACTTCGGCGAGTGAAGGCATATATCCACCCATCTATACATACATCCATTCTTCCATCCATCCATCCATCCATCCATCCTTCCATCCATCTATCCATCCATCCATCCATCCATCCATCCATCCATCCATTCATCTATTTATCCATCCATTCGTCCCTCTGTCTATCCGTCTGTGCGTCCATACACTCACCCATTCATCTATTCATCCATCCATCTGTCCGCCCATCCACCCGTCTACAATTTTTACCTCTCCTGGCCGTTTTGATGATGGCATCGATAGCGAAATTGGTATGACATAACAAGATTGTAGACGAGCATAAGTGACTAGTGATAGCATAAGAATGTCATGAAAGTCGTGATTTACATGTCATGTTCTTGCTGCTCTTGCAGTTGTTTCGTTCCCATGCCATATTGCAAAACTGGTATGGTATGACATGGCTGCATAACGCATTACGTAACAGGCCCTAACATATAAATCTTGACATGCGTGTCATGTAAGTAATGACTACACGCCATGCTCATTGTGTAGCGGTCGTATCGCTAGCTTCACATATACCAACTTTATTATTACGGGACGTGAATGAATGTCCAAGGCATATGACTGGTGCAATCGTGATAATCATGAAATGCGTGTAAGGTGAGAATATAACTACATGCCACGCTCGTGAAGTGCTCGCGGGCGTTTCGCAAGGTTCACATATACCAAATTTTGTATTACGTGACGCGATAGGACGACAAAGATAAATTACATGTCGAAATATAATAGTCATGAATTGCGTATCATGAAAAACATTACTACAAGCAATGATCATAGTGCCATCGTGGTAGTTACGCTAGCTCGACATGCACTAATATTTATGTTACGTGACGTCAATGAATGACGATGGTATATGAAAGGTGAAAAATGGTAATGATGACATGCTTGCCCCGTAAAACATAGCTAGATGCTACGCTCATAGAGCGCTCGCGGCCGTTTCGCTAGCCCCCATATAAGAAGTTTCGCAGCACGTGACGTAAATAGAGGATTTCTTTTCTTCGATTTCGATTGTCAAATTATGATAATCATGATACACGTGTCATGTAAAACACTATAAAATCTTCGCTCATAGCGCCCTCACGGCCGCTTCGCTAGCATAAGATGATTGATTGATTGATATGTGGGGTTTAACGTCCCAAAACCACTATATGATTATGAGAGACGCCGTAGTGGAGGGCTCCGGAAATTTAGCATCAGATGTACCAAATTAGGTATCTCGTGACCAGAATAGACAACGAAGGTGAATGACACGACAAAACGTAATAATCATGCTATGTGTGTCACGTAAAGCACGATTAAATGTTGCGCTCTTAGCGTGAGCGCAACTGTTTCGATAGTCTCACATATACGAAATTTGGTATTACGCGATATGATTAGACGACGAAAATAAATGGCCCCTCCAAACATCAACTTCATGACACGCAAGTCATGTAGGCTAAAACTTACGTCAGTCTCGTAAAGTTGTGCTGATTTTTATATTAAATATTATACTTCCTCATTTGTGATTCGCATATATCATCGATTTATATATAATCGATTTATATATCATTGATTTATATATCATCGACTTATGTATCACCGCATATATATCATCGATTCCCACTGCACGTGGTATCTGCCAATTTTAGATGCGGAGCATCTAATACTCGAGGCTTGTAGTGCGGCGCCGTCCACAAGCTTCCTCCTCCTTCTTCCACCATCTGTGCATCCCTTCCTCCTCTACACACCGCGCGCGCTTCACTCCTCCACCATCTGTGCACCCTTCCTCCTCTACACACCGCGTGCGCTTCTCCTCTTCACGAACATTCGCTAGCTGTATAATGTAGCACGCATGCGCCGTCACGCTTCGAGAACATCGGCAGCTGACGCGCGCGCATGCGCCGTCACGCTTCGAGAACATCGGCAGCTGACGCGCGTGCATGCGCCGTTGCGCTTCTTCCCCTTCTCGAACATTCGACAGCTGACGCGCGCATGCACCGTCACCCACCATCTGTGCCGCGCGCGCTTCTCCCCTTTGAGAACATTATACAATTCTCCTGATTCTCCAGTGGACGCGCATGATTCTCCAGTGGACGCGCAGTGGACGCGCCGTCGCGCTTCGAGAACATTCAACAGCTGACAGTGCATGCGCCGTCGCGCTGTATATATACTCAAGGTGGGCGCTCGCTCGCTCAGTTGCCGCTCGTCGGTTGGTTTGTACGGCGCATCGACGTCCAAGGTCGCGGTGAAATGAATTCCAACGAATCCGCAAACACAATGATCGACGTCCCTTCGACCAGCGCCGCCCTTTCGCATACGTGTGTACGTGTTCACTCATTTAACACCCCCTCCTACAACCACATTAACCAATTTAGCCATCGACCCAAGTAAGTCGCAGTTTAACACCCCATTTCACAACCACGTTAACCAATTTAGCCATCGACCCAAGTAAGTCGCACTTTAACACCCCATTAACCAATTGTATGCTCTGCATCCTCCTCAGTGTTCCCCCGAGGGAAGCTGCGGGCAATTTTTTTTCATCAGTAACGTATACCATACTTACATTAGGCTGTGCGACAAAAGCGATTCAACCGGTGTTCTATCACGATCGTATTGAATATAGTCTCCATCACAGGTGGGCGCAGGGCACACAAGCATAAAATTACTTGCTCTGAATCAAAAACATTTGTATTTTCTTCGCATTCACTTATCGGGGTGCCAAATACAGGCTTCTTCTTATACCACCCCTCACTAAATTATTTACTTATTTAATAGGTCGAATACGCTCCGGCCTCCGAATGCATTGGTCAGCAATGCGCGCGATGGCCCTGCACGGAAATTTAATACGGTCATTGAAGTGTTGTATTGTATGCGTGGAAAGAAAACATTTATCTTTTTGAGTTTCTGGTACAGCACCTTTTTTTGGGTATGAATAAACTATCAAAACATGCCATGCAAGATCCCTAACGTGAATTTGATCCTGTAGATCGAGTTATAGGCCTCGAGTGTTTTATATTGAATACCATTTCACGCCAAATTCTATTAACTTGATCTACAATGAGCTTTCCCGATTTACTCGACGTCCTTTCCACTCTTTTCAAGTATAACCTCGATGCGAGACACTGCTTGCACGGAGCATTGCGCAATACTTTCCTTTATTAACGAATATTTGCTCGCGTCCTTACGCCATTCCTGAAATAGTGGGTGATTCGATTCCTGACTCGAAAGATTATTGACTGTATCTATATCGAGACTGTACGTGTGAAAAGTCTTGCCTTACTGTTCAGTCAACGTACATTTGTTTGAAGAGCTTCAAGACTTGCGTGTAAGAGAGCCATTAAGTACTATATCACGCCACGCACAACTATACTTAGTACCTATCACTATTTGCAGCATCTTTTTTCAGTGTGCCGTACAGTAGATCTGCCTATCCGATATGTGTTATCCAATCTCGCGCAGCTGCCAAGGCCAACTCACCAGTGCATATTCGAGGGTTCCAGGTGGTGTTCACACAGGTATTTACCAAGCTCGAATTCACTGAAAAATGAAACGTACTCATATGAGCATCAAAGCGACAGGCGACAGGTTCATACAAAAAGAGCAACAGGGGTGCGAAAAGTTCTCAACTGTGCTAATATATAATGTGGGGATTTCTATCTTAGATAAACGATATAAACACGAGAAGCGCCGTAACAACAGCTACAAAAATTTTGACCATCTGGTGTTTTTTCACCTGCCCTGTTCATAGTGTAAATCAAGGTCATAGTTGTAGCTATGCCAATTCAAGATGGACGAGAAAGTGGACACACTAGGACTATGGACATTCTGGCTGCGCGTTAGAAGGCGAACAGCAACCACGAATAGCCTAAGTGTATGATGGGAACGAGGGTATGAAAAGGTGAACTTTTTCGGGCTGAAGAGTACAAGTTGGAGACGCGATAAATCTTTTTCCTGTGCTATATGTAGGCACTAGTAATTGGGTTGACTTAGCCTGGTAGATCGGTGGTGCCATTTTAGTTATGTTAGTTTTATGTTTTAAGAGTTGCCGTCCACTTTGCAGGCTCCTTCCAATAATTTTGAGTATTGTATATGGTATGGAGAACTTTATTGACGCCTTGAAGATCAATCTAGGACTGATGCTGGCTGCTCCCACGTCGCAACAGAGACGCCAAGCCCCTCGGCCGCCACACGGCCCCTCTGAACAGACCTGAGTTTCTCAGCCAGCGCGTCACTGTACAGCATTCACTGCCACCACTGTTCACCGTGAGAAGCCGCACCGGCCATTGCCCAGCAGCGCCAGAGCATGTGTTCAAAATTGAGCAAGCCCCCACACTTAATAGAATAAATCTAAACCCGCAGCCCGCATTACTTTTATTCATGACGACCGGGTTCGGGATACGTCCGCGTCTGCTCCAGTCTTCATTTAACTGCCTGTGGCCTGTTAAATCTAGAATGTGGCAAGAGGAATTCCCTGCGCTCTAAGTAATAATGTTCGGTTATATCATTGTACGTTAGCAGCTGGTCCCCCCAAACTCTGGAGCGGAAGATTCACCCGCCTCAGGGATTGCACGGCACAATAATTATCGTGCCTTCCTGTGCGCCACCTCGTTAAGGTTACGGGGGGCTCCCTCCACTGACCCCATGTGCACCGGAAACCAAGTAATGATGTGCGGAGCGATGTCCTTAACCTGCAGCAGTCCGTAATTTATTCGCTAATAACTCCCCTCAAGAGGGCTTTATTTGCAGAGCCAGCGAGAGTCCCTAAATACTAAAGCTCTTTCCGAATCAATAAGTGCTAGGGCAATAGCCACTTGCTCAGCTTCCCCCGGATCTTACGTATAAACGGAAGTGGCATTTCGAATGCTCCTGTTAATTCATCCTGCGTCAACTAACGCATACTCTTCCTCCTTAGCCTTTGCCTCGCGCAACAAAGCCCTTGCTCTCGCCATTTGCCTGCCTACATTATGCACAGGGTGCACATTTCAGGGAAATTGACGAACCATGATATTAGCCCTGATGTTCACTGTTAATTCGTATAGGCGCGCATCATCCCGAGCCACCACAGACTCTCCGATTGACTGTAAGATATACATACCAGCTGGTGTGCCAAGCAACCGCTCTGTGTGTGCTTTACGCTGAGCCTCGGCAATTTCATCAAGAGTGTTATGCAAACCCAGCCGCAGCACCATATTTTTAACGTACTTACAGGCAAACCAAGCACCGCCTTAACGACTTTTCTGTATAAAGCTTCCAATTTGTCTTTCTCCCCTTTTTCTATTTCAGCAGGGCAGCTGCGTACGAAAAATGGCATAAAAATGCGTGAACCAAGCGCACCGCACCTTCTTCTCCTCATTATATATGCCTGTTAGATATCCTTCGGATAAGTCATATGGCCTCGTGTGTCTTCTTGGCAATACGCTAAATAGATTATTCGATCTGTTTGCTCCAATTGCCAAACAACAACCCTAATAGCAGCAACTTTTGCTACCAATGACCCATTGCTAGTACAATCTGTGATGCAAGTCTCAATTTCCAGCACCCAATTTTTCGGCCTATGACCTAACTTCTTGGATTTGAAGAATAACAACTCCTACTTTTCAGAGGAGCACTTGAGTCCCACCTGAACCAAACAGTTTTCTTTAAGCGTTACCACCTCCTGCAGCCTAACCTCAAGCTCTCCGTCACTGCCACCAACACTCCATACCATGACGTCATCCGCGTAGATAGTATAGCCAATACCTCAACAGCGTCCAGTACGTCAGCTAGCTTTGACATCACCAGACTGAACAACATTGGCGAGGGAACAGATCCTTGTGGTGTACCACGAAAACGCAATCTGAAGAGTGCGGACTTGATCTTCCCCAACCTGAGACATGTCCTTCTATCCTCAAGGAAATCTTTAACAAAGAGAAAAAGCCGTTGCCCCAGATTCAGGTCTGACAGCACCTGTAGGATGAAGGAGGGTCGGAGATTGTCGAAAGCTATTTCCACATCAAGTGCAAGTAGTACCTTAGTGTCCCTTGTCCGCCGATCAAGTGGGTGATGCTTATTCTAGAACATAGCGTCTTGAGTCGAGTGGCCGGGACGACACCCGATCATCCAGTGCGAAGAGACACCATTGCCCTCAACATAACGCGTTAGCCTATTTAAAATGACAAGCTCAGCGACTTTTCCCAAACACAATGATAGCGAAATCGGTCTGAGATTTTTCTGCCCTACGCTCTTGCCCGGTTTTGGTGTGAGAACAGTAATAACAAGTTTCCACTCCTCTGGGTAAGATCATTCCTTCCATCGGCTATTTATCTCCCGCGTAGGAAACTCAACAGACGCCTCGTCTAAATTTCTTACCAGTTTATTAGAAATGCCGTGCGGTCCTGATGCCAACCGACAATTAAGATCCTGCTTTGCCATCCTTATATCACTTTCGGTGAATTCCTTATCCGTAAATATATTCTCTTCCCTACTATATTCCAAAATAACGTCAGATGCACCTGGCAAGTTTGAAGCGGAAGGTATCTCTCAGCCGAATTCTTTAGCACCTCTTGCTCTGATGAGTTTCGGCACGCCTCATGAAGTAGCTTACCTATCAGTGTCCTCTGATTAGACTTAGAATTGGTGTCATCCAGTAAATGTCTGTGTATATTTCAGGCGCCCCCCGTTTAATACCACCATCCGCAGAACTACATAGTTCATCCCACTGCCGCGTGCAAAACACCCGACAGTGGTCTTCGAATTCTTTATTAACCATTGCTACACGCTTTATAAGCCTTCTGTTCAACCGCTGATCATTCCATCTCGCCAACAGTAACTTCTTCGTCTTCAGCAAGTGTGCCAGACGACTATCCATTTTACTTGTGTCCATATCTGTTTTAAGTTCCTTAATGGTTGCTTCAACATCACTCTCGAGCTGACGAGTCCAATGTTCCAAGGTCAAATGATGCCTCTGACCTTCGTTTCTCTGTCCCTTCGGTTTCTTAAATGATTCCCAGTAAACAAGCTTCAATATTCTCCCCTTTAGAGGAGCCACCTCTAAAGTAATCATACGTATGTAATGATCGTTGTTTAAATCTATATTAGAATTTGACCAGGACGAATCCACCACCCCACGAACAAAAGTAAGATCTGGTGTCGAATCTCTACATGTCAACGTGTCGCAACGAGTTGGATACAGAGGTCTGTATTGAGAGATACATTTGAGTCTAAGGTTGTTGACATAGTCTCTCGCCTTTGGTTGTGCTATAGACGTAATTCCACGCATAATAGGGCACATTAAAATTCCCTTCAATGTGCAATGGTACATTCTTAGTGAAATTAGCTGTCTTGGTCAAGAGAGCTTTAAAACACTGTTTCGTGTCGCTGGCGCTGCTGTGCAAGTTAAGCTGCTAAACGCTCCTCTGACTTGCTCCTTGTCGACCTAAAACCACCTCGACCATAATATATTCAATCCTGCAATCCGCCATGTGAAGATCATGCCTCATATACGCCAACCTTCTACTCATGAGTGTTGTGAGCCCTCTGACCTTCTCATTATCTTTAACCTCGCTTTGAAATCGATTAAGGTTACGCTAGACGTCAGTTTCCTGCAACATAATAACCTGAGGTTTCACATTGCCCGTTATAACAATCTGCTGCAGGGACGCCTTCTTATAATTGAACCCCTACGATTGCACTGCCAAACACTAAATGAACTATTTAATGAAGCCGCCATCGTGGCTATGTAAATTTGGATTACTCACGTTGAGTTCTATTCCGCTAGGGGACTTGTCCTGCTTAGCCAGCAGCTGAGAGCACTCCCGCTTCATAACAGAAACCACAGTCTCATTAAGATATACTTCAATTTTACCTTATCTCTGAATTGTGATATTTTCTCTCTCTTCTATCTGCTTCAATCTAATAATGATCTCATTCATACTTTCCTGCAATGTCGCCGTCATTTCTTTAAGCTCAGAAATAACCTGGACCTGGGCCCGCGCAATCGAGAGCGCACCTCTTTTTTGGAGCTTATGTCTCCTCGTCAGCCACGTTCTGTTCGGGAACCTCTACAAACCTCTGTACCTCAACCAGGCTATCAGGTTTACTACTCTAACTAGGGCTCTTACCAGACTGTAAATTTCTCTTAAGTTCAGCTATCTTTTTTCCAGGCCCTTCCAAGGCTGTTTTTAAGCTATGATTATTTCTCTCCAATTGTGCAATCCTGTCCTTATCCCGATTACAACCCACATGCTCTTGACCCTGCTCTCGTCTTCGGCAAGTGATGGGTCCACTCATGACCTGGCCAGCCCATGTGGTCCGCCTTCCAGCTGCACTGCCGTTTCCACCAGTATATGCAGGGGGATTCCTTGAGTCTGGACTCCCATGAAATGACCATTGTCGCGGCTTCGAACGGCTCCGAGAGCGCGAGCGTCTTCCACAGTGCTGAGAGACGCTTGCCAGCTGCGCCACCTCGACTGCTTCTTGTTCCACTGCTAGTTGGGCCCTGGCTCACTCTTCTCGGCAAACACACACGACAAAAGCACCCGGTACCGCTTCTGCAGTGT